ACACACTACACACTACACACTACACCCTACACCCTACACCCTACACACTACAGCACGCACACTACACCCTACACCCTACACCCTACACACTACAGCACGCACACTACACACTACACACTACACCCTACACCCTGCACCCTACACCCTACACACTACACACTACACACTACACCCTACACCCTACACACTACACCCTACACACTGCACCCTACACCCTACACACTACACACTACAGCACGCACACTACAGCACAGACTGCCTGCCTTACCCTCTCTCCAGCGACACAAATCACACAGACTTTTTATTAATAACAGCACTTTTATTATTATTAACAATAGTATTTTATTTACAATTTTATTAAATAAAACGAAATCAACAAATCAAGTTTATCATGAATTTTATGACATTCTATTCTAAACACATCCTATAATTTTAACAACAATAATAAATATAATTACTTATAAAATGAAACTTCTATTTAAAGTGTATTAAATCATTACAAAATACAGTGTATTATGTATTTAATTATTAATGAGAACATTCATATTCTAAACATAACAATTTGATGAAAAAGAATTGACAATAAAGCAGACTTGACTTGACTTGATACTTAAAGATGTATTAAATAAAACATTACAAAATAAACTTGAATTTAATTACATTCCAAATCTAAACATCCTACTATGTTAATATAATAATACTTTTATTAAAAAGTTAATTAAATAAAACATTACAAAATAAAGTTGATCGTGTTTTTAATTATATTCATATTCGAAACATCCTGTAATTGTCATATATTTAATTTAGTACATATATTTATGTAGCCGACGCTTTTATCCAGAGTCGCTAAAATGAGGAAAAAGCACAATCAATTAATCATGAAGGAGCTAGTAAAATTAGCAGTGCCTCGATGATTTAATTTAAACACATAAAAGATTTAATATAAACAAATAAATATCCAGGGGCAATGTGTTTGGGATATTTAACTACAGCTAAGGTGCTCTCAAAATATGATTAGGGCCTAATGTTATACATAACATGTACATAACAAATATATATGTGTGTATATATATATAAACATTTGTGTAGTCATCTTTGAAATGTCTTTTATTTATTTAATTTGCTTGGCAACAACAGTGTTTATACAAAGGCATGTCACTATGTGTTCATTTATGTTTCAATTATAAGCAATGGCTTTGGTTTTCTGTTAAATAACCTTTTAGTCAAACAACTGCATCTTTCTAGAGATTTGATGAATAATGTGTTGTGGGCTGTTGAAAACAGCTGATGTGCAGAAGCTCACAATAGGAGAGTGGGACTGAACAGACTGGATGGTTCATACATTTGGTTGGGGTGAAAGGGAGCAGATTGGTTTGTTTCAGACTCTGTTAGTCAGTTGTGTGAGCTACTTTGATTTGGGCAGATGGTTATGAGTTTCCAAACAGTCTCATAAAAAACCCTGAGCATTATGCAGGACTCAGAGGAATCCAGAGATATGGTAAATCTAAAAATTGAAATTATTATTATTATTAAATTTATTTTTTTTTGACAAATGGTCAAATGCAATCTGTACAGTTAAAGTTATTTTGTGTATTGTCTTTTGGATGTTTTTGGTACTCCATGATTTTATGTTATTGTGAGTTATATTCATTCTTAAAGCCATCAATTTCAAATTCTTCAGGAAAAAATTACAGACCAAATGGATGGAGGAAATATGAGTGCAGGAAAGAAGGGTGTGGATCCAAGAGAGAAGCGTCTTTCCTCCTCTGACTGGGACAGAAAAGGGACGTCTGTACCCTTAGTGCCATCAAATGTACCAATTCCAGGCCCCACAAACGACCCCATCATTATTTCCATCGGCCCTCCCCATCGTTCTCCCTCTATTTCCAGTGAGTCCCAGGGCCAGGGTCTCTCGAGAGAAGACAACTACAACAGGCATGGATGGAGAAGGGAGAACATGTCATCTGGTGAGGGTGGCGTCCCCAAACAAACAATGGATGAACTGAAAAGTGTGTTGCGTGAGAACTCCCTACTCAGTGCAAAAGGGCAAGATGAAAGAAGGAGCTACCCTCCAGGTCAAAGAGTGGACTGTAAGCCAGACCAGATGCCACCTAAGAGTTTCAGCACCTTCAAGCCCCTTTCAGAAGCTAGGAGAGCATCCAGACTAAGAGAAGGAAGTTCTAGCAGGGATTCAGGCGGGTCTTCGATGACCGATGGACCTCCCGGCAGGTCCTCTGGTATGAGTTCACCCCCTGCTGAGACATCCCACTGGGATGAAGCTGGCACATCACACTCAGGTCAGAAAGATGATTTATGGTTGACTCAATTTAACACATTTACTTTAGCTTGCTCATCGTTCATCTATCTGTCTGTTATTTTATATTCCTAACAGACAAGGAAAGCTCACAGGCACTCTCGTTTGCATCTCAAAGCTTCATTTCTGATGTTGAGCGCATAAAACAGCAAATTGCCCGGGAAAACATTAGTTTTGTTCGCTTTGAGGCCACTGATCTTCATGGCGTGTCCCGATCCAAGACAGTTCCAGCTCGATTTTTTTATGTAAATCTTTTTAAATGCCTCTTATAGATTCTGTACTGTAGTCAATACAATGGTACAATTTTAAGCTGCTGTATGCAATGTTTTTGCAGTAAAACAAAAAGATAAAGACATATTTTATACTGAGATGTCTTTGAAGAGTGTGGAGAGAGGGGGTTTGTGGTTGACGCCATGGTTGAGGGTTGGTTTAAGTTAACAAGACAGCTAACATTGCTTACAGCAGCTTTAATGTTAGTAATACGTTTGACTGTTTAGTGTCCCTTGTAGTAATTGTAGTAGTTTTGAAAATACTGGTAAAATACTGAAAAAGTACTCAACAACATTATTCATTATTGACACCACAGGAAAAAGCGGTATATGGCATTCCTATGCCGAGAAGCTACCTGGAGTTAACCCTAAGCCCCAAAGTCAACGAAGTTGATCATCCGAGTGCAGCCAACTTCAGCAGTGATGTCCTGCTGGTTGCAGATCTCTCCACGTTCCAGATCCTTCCCTGGGCGGACCAGACCGCGCGTCTTATCTGTGACCCCTGCACGATC